GTTCAGTGTCTTTCCATTCAATATAGCCTAGCGTCGGCTGAGCAAGAGTCAGGGTGGTGTAACTTCCCTTCAATTTGTCTTTAACTCATGAAATAAATAAAACTCCCTCTTCTGTTCAACTGACTATTGTCTGACTTATTTTAAGCTGGAACAGTCTGCACGTAATCTGTGTGTTTAAGTGTGTAGGAACAACAGGAACATCAGATAAGGGCCATTGACCGGCTTAGGGGGAGACTGTTGGGATCAAGCCAGTCAATAGGGAACGTGCAGTGCAAGAAAGGAAGAGAACGAGTAAGATGGAAAGACAAATCAAGCAGAAGGAAAGCCAAATCTCGAAATCAAGGAGTTACCAAATCTGAAGATTTCACAGCAAGGCGGAAACTTGAATGCAGCAACGGCTAGCTTTGAAATCTGTATAAAGCAAAGGAGGTTAGATTAGAGGATATACTTTTCGGAGATCAATCGAGTGAAAATAGCAGGAGAGTTGCTGTAAACAGATTGATAGAGAAGTGGTTGAGTGATCGGGAAGATTGCTCGAGCAGGTCGACAGGGAGTTGATCTGGGTAGACTGAGTCATCAACGGGAAGTTGATCACGATTAGAATCTGATCAGTCCGAGAAGGTTGATCAGGGAAGCTCTGTACTTTGTACTCTGCTCTTCAAGAACATATCCTTAGTGGAACGTCAGTGATCACGGATTAGTGAATCACTGACCGTGGATTAGTCAGTATTGCGATACTCTTTTCTCTCAACACTGGATACCACATAAAAATTGGCTGTGTCTTTGTTTACTCTGTTTCTAAGATTTCTGCACATCTCTGTTTTTGTTCATCACTCAAATTGGCCAAGTAAGGTGCTGTGATCCGTTAAGTCTCAAAGTAAACCTCTGATAGTTGTTTAGGGAAAACGACAGCGTTGGCCTTAGCTGCTAGGATTAAACAGACAGGCTCAGGAACGAGTTTGAGTGGGCCAGTAAGGAAACCGAAATTAAATAAGATTGTGGGCTTTAGTCCTTAAGCCAAAGCCCATCTGAGTATCTATACACGTGAGGTAAAACTAGAAGTGGAGAGTGCTAGGTCAAGTGTTCAGATCAAAACGTTTGTTTTCCATTTTCTTCTAACCAGGTTCGAAAGAACCCTAGCAAATTCCAGATATCCAATTTCGTGAAATTGCAGGTGCAAAAACCCCCTTTTAAAGAAAAAGAAGGCGCGCGCCACCGGACCAACATTAAGCTGTTCAATATGTCCATTACATAGTAGTAGAAGTGTAATTAAGCTTAATAGAAGTTGGAGGCCTAATTGACAATCTCAATCCAATCAATAGGGCATATTGAACAAAATCCGATGTTCGACCGTTATATATTTTGGACGGTCAAACACGTTGACTAACGGTAACACACCATGTCACAGCCAAATCAGCACAGACCACTTAAAAATTTTGATTTTTTCAAGGCATCCGTTGAAGAGGCAAAGGGTTGACTTTCATTATAGTTTGTCTCTCGGTAAAGGGTTGACTTTATTATGCCTGGCCGAAAACAAAGCCAGATGGACCCGTAATGGAAGAAAAAGGCCTTTCATGGATCGGTAGTGAGCCGGCCCAAACACCACCGAAAGCCCAAATACGACTATTTGCCATGGCGTTCAGTGTCAGCCGCTGACTCACTGTTACAGTGTGTAACCCCTTTTCCCCAGCTGGTGCAATTCCTTTCTGCGTTTGGTGTATCTTTTACAGCTATGGCCGCCAATTGGCTTCCCGGAGAGGTTGTCACCGGTAACATCCCTCGTCCGGCTTCCGGAGGTTCGCTCGCTCGCTCCGCTTCCGGTCCGTCTCAACTGTTGGGGGATTGATGAGTACTTGTTCAAACCTCACTCTGCCTTGGCAATGCTTGTTTGGAGAAATTGAGGTGACTAGATATGCATACCTATAATACGAAAGGTCGGCCTCTTCAACGAAATGGTTGATCGTTCGATTCTCAGAACGACCTCAATAAGTCACCACAATTAACGATGTTTGCGTGCGACAATCGTTGTAATTTTCCCCCTTTGAACTTGTGTCAAGAACAAAACAAAAAAAAAAACGAAACAGTACCAACAAATTGACATGATGAACAGAAGAAGTTGAGGGATGAATTGACGGCCTCCCAGATTCCACCTCTAAATCCGGACAGCATAGATACCTGGCAACAACAGCATCCTTTTGACTGTTAGCAATACGATCCATGTCGAAAGCTTTACGCACTACGATCCGAACATAAACAAACAGAACGTCTAAATCTCCGCCGGATCCTTTGATCTGCTTCCACCATTGCTCCCCACCTATATGAAGTTCCAATGCTGAAATCAGATCATGCATTGTATCTTCCACTGCAAAAAAATGTCGCAACAACATGCCAGCTCCGTCGTAACGGTCGACGAGCTGCGAATCTCTCCGCCACGGGGCTCAGTTCCCGCTACTTCCCTCCGGCTAACCCTGTTCGACATATCGTGGATAATCTGCCATCCGATTTAGAGAGTCTTCTTCTACGATTTCCCGCATTCCAGTTCCCATTTCCGGCAAACAACCATCCCCAGTCTCGCCGATTCCCTCTCCCTGGCGCTTATTCATTTCTACCCTCTCGCCGCCCGGCTCGTCACCCCGATGCTTTCCGACGAGAGGGCTCGCATATTTTACTCTGACGGCGACTCTGTTTCGCTCACCGTCGCCGAGACCGGTCTCCAATTCGACCGTGTCATCTCCGACCTGCCAAGCGACGTCGAACTGCTCCACCCTCTGCTGCCCAAACTTCCTCCCGACGACAGACCGAATTCGGAGGGCGAAACCTCGTCCCCGCTTCTCGCCGTGAAGGTCACTCTGTTTCCGAACTCCGGCATCTGCATCGGGTTCGAGTTTCGCCATGTGGCGGCTGACGGGCTGGCTTTCAACCATTTCGTGAAATCCTGGGCTTCAATTTGCAAATCCGGTGGCGGGGACTTGAGCTGGGTCGCAAAGTCTCCGCCTTGCCACGACCGAGAGCTGATCGAGGAGCATACAGAGCTCGAGAATTCGCTTCTGAAAACCATAGGAAACTATGCATCGCATTGGGATGAGGATTCCCGCCGGCGTATGCTCGCCAACAAGGTCCGCGCCACGTTCCGGATTGACGGCGAGCATATTAAGAGGATGAAAGCTTCTCTGGCCAACCACAATGGCAGCAGCAAACAGTCGACGCCGGCGTCAGCGTTTACGGTGGCGAGTGCCCTTCTATGCACCAGTTTGACGAGATCCCGAGAACCCGAATTCGTCGCTGCCAGCAGCAATAAATTCAATTCAGGGGAGGATCACATTGATTGCTACGTAATTCTGGTGGATTGCATGGGGCGCCTCAAACCCAAACTCCCGGCGACTTACTCCGGCAACTGTCTGTCAGGAATCCAGGTGCTGGTGAAGCGAAGCGATTTGATCGGAGGCAACGGGTTTGCAATTGCAGCCAGAGTAATCGCGTCGAAGATCAGGGAGATGGAAGCTGAGGGACTGTTGAGGAGCGCGGAGAAGTTTTTCTCGCTTTCAGGATGGCAGGAAATAATGAAACAGGGGAACATCCTGTCGGTAGCTGGGTCGCCGAAGCTTGGGGTCTACGAAACCGATTTCGGGTGGGGGAATCCGAGGAAGTCGGAGCCGGTTCATGTCGATTTCTATGGCTCGGTTTATTTCTCGGACGCCAGGGATAAGGAGAAAGGCGGGATTGAGTTCGGGTTGGCGCTGAGCAAGGGTGAAATGGATGCTTTCGCAGCAGCGTTTGAGCAGCAGTTGAGACGGTTCAGTGAGTGATCCATGGCTTGGGACAAATCGCCGGCGGCAATTAGTCGCACAACGGATTTTTTTCCGATCCGATAATGGAGGTCTTGGTCTAGAAGAAGCAGACGGCAGCTCTGTGATTGGAGCTGGCGAAAGGGAAAGATGGAATCAGAACCCACTTCTCTGTCTCCACTCTTTCAGTCAGCAACTCTGAATAGGAATGGAAGAGGTGTCTAGTAGAAAGCATTGGAATACTCTGAGGCGGCATATGTTGACTTTTACACTGAGGATGGTAAGTTGCTATTGAAAGGTTTAACCCTGAAAGACAATATTAGGTGGAGGATATCATCAGGCAGCGTACTGATTCGATCAACTGTGTTATAGGAAGGCATTCTACTGCTCTCTAGCTTCAACACCCACAGCAAAAACAAAACATTAAAGTTACTGCATTGATAATCGAAAATCCATGGAAGGCTCAATTTGTGCATAGCACAGCAAGGAAACGAAAAAGAAAGCAGCAAGAGGATGCAGCAGTGGCACATGACACATGATGAATAGATTTAAGACTAATAATGCTCATAAGTCATAATAACTAAGAAATCTAGAGAGTCCATTGCACTTCTTGCCTAGGCTGAATGTTAAAGTAACTAACAAGAGAGTTGGGGAAACAAAGCTGAAGAAAAGATGGATGTTAATCAAACTAACCTTAGACTTCATCACACCGGGATGTTGCCATGAGGAACCAGACCTGCGGAGCTTTCTCTTTCCTGTCACTGGTATTGGATTCGGCAGGCAATAAGACTTATACCCTTTGGAAGGAGACAGAAAGAGGATCAAAAGACACAAACTTTTTGCCCTTTTGGAGTCCTTCTCATCATTTAAACGGCGAATAGGAAGAAGAAGGGAGTTGAAGAAGTAAGCAGAAGCTGCAGGAACCGACGAGCAGATCGGTGGAATGAATGCAAATCAAGGGAAACACCCGCCCGCCAACTGGAAGAAGAGATCTGCCGGAAGCCAGCAAAGGATCTGAACTTTCTCCAATTGAACGAATTTGCAGATACAAATAAATGAAATAAAACCCTTCTGCCTGCCGGTAGAAACCCCGACGACGAGGAGGAAAAGGATTCCGATAAGGGCCATCGTTTCTGCCAGTATGATTTAACTTGGGCCTAAAATGGATGCTTACCCAGTAAGCCCAACTTGATTCCAATTTAGGACTCCGGGCCCATGTCTGCTTCTCTCTGTGTAACCCATTTGTACTTCTCTCCCGCGGTTCCCATATCCTACGTACCAAAGAAGCTCTCGCACTTCCGCAGTTCCAGTCCGGACTTTCTTTCTCTGCGCTCGGTTCTTCATGGTAACTATTGTTTTTCTTCCCCTCATGTTGCCATGGGAGCTAGGCGGATTTCAAATTATTGATTATCGACCTACTTGTTTTTTGTCGCCAGTTCTTGTTTGGTTTTCCATATGGCTTAGATGCTTCTGCTCACGCCCAATTTAGACTGTGAGGTTCGCAAGATGGTGAAATGAATGAGAAACGGTAGAATGTCTCCTAGGAATAGAAAGAACCAGACGATGGCTAGGTGTTGAGACTGTTCCCAGTGCTAGTATAAGTTGAATGCGTTGGATGAGGGCCGAGAGAGAAGCCCTTGATAACGGAGAGATGAGGAGTGGCCTGCTAGGGTTTCCTTTTTTGGTTTCGACTTCCTTCTTTCGATTCTGATACTATGTAGTACTTGTCTTAACATCCAAATTCAGCAGCTCTGTGAAAGCCATATTTTCCTTTTTCCCTTGGTCCCTGGCTTACATTGTTTGGAACCTTGTCGATCGTTGCTGCATTGAAGCATTTATCCAAACCCATGTGAGGCCTCGGGTGGTTGATTGCCTAATCATAGCTCTGCCTTGTTAGAGCCTTCCTGAGGGCTATAGTGGGGGTACTGAAACTGATTCTCGAATTGTGCTGTAGTGTTTGCTACTTCTGACGAATATACGAGAATGAAGGAAGGTGAGGGAAAGGCAGTGATAGGACTGACATGGCAGCCCAAGCTGCTTACTGCATCCCTTGCTTCGTCGGCTCGAAAACCTCAGAATCACGCTGGGGATTCTCTTTTGCAGCCCACTGAGAAGCTTGTTGATGGTCTGTTTTTGCCACCCAATAACCCATCTCAATTGAAAAATTTGCAGAGGAAGCAAGTCAAGGACACTCTCGGCAAAGGCTGGTATCAAGCAGTTGTCCCTCTTCTTCCTTATGTTTTGGTTCTTCTGTTCTGCTCCGCGTTCACTTCATCCCTGGATTGTTCCTTGCTTGTAATAGCTTGATTGATACCATTGCTGCCTAAACTTTACTATAGGTTTGATATGCCAGCTCCAACTATGACTCAGGAATTGAAGAAAGATCTCCAGATACTAAAGGTAACCTTCTTCCTCAATTTTATGCAGTGTTCTTTTTTTTTTTAATAGAAGTGCAGTGTTCTTTTCTCATACTGTTTGCCTGCTCTGCTACCTGTGAATGGCTCCAGCCATCATTGAGCTTTCTTTCTATCTTCTGTGTTACATTTCCTACAAACTAGGACAAATCTATCAATGTCAATTCATGGCAGTCACTTTAGTTTGTGGTACCTCATTGTTGGCAGCTGCTGATGCTTGCCAGTTTGTGTTCAATGAAGTATTGACAACCTGTTGCTACTCTTCTCCAAAATCTTGGAACTTCTTTACCTTCTAGGGGTACTTGGTTATAAGTTTGTAAATCATGAGTCTTCTAAGATGCATCGAACTCCAGCTTGCAGCTCTCATATGGCTGTCTTTCCCTCTGTCTCTTATCTCCCCGAACATGAAAGGAAGGTTCCACCATCTATTTTCATTTTTGGTTGAGATGTCATCTTCTGTTGTAGTCGTTTGGGAAAACTAATGTTCTTAGCCAAGAACTATGTGCCCAAGTAAGTATCATCATGTGATATGGATGATTGGATTAGGACAGACCCTTGATTGTTCTCCTATATATAAACTGCCATGGTGAATCAACGAGTGTCTTTCAGAATTACTTTGATCTATAAATCGGCTAAGTATCAAAAGGCATGATTTCTGACTGTATAGATAAGAATAGTTACCATGCAGTGTTTGTTCTGATAAACTAAAAGTGAGTTATTCAATCATTTTGATGCAGCTGAGGGGTGCTATCGACCCTAAGAGGCACTATAAGAAAGGTGATTCAAAGTTAAAAGTTCTTCCCAAATACTTCCAGGTAATTTAAGCTTTAAGCTAAACCTAGTGCATTTCAATTCTTATCTTTGTTTAACATCCTTCGGTACAAGAAGCTGAAACATGTTTTCCTCTTCGTATGTCATTCAGGTGGGTACAGTCATCGAGTCACCAATGGAGTTCTTCTCCGGCAGGCTGACAAAGAAGGAGAGGAAAGCTACCATTGCTGATGAGCTACTTTCTGATCAGAACTTCAAGGCTTACAGGTACGATATTCCCACTCGTCTGAACCCTTTAGTCTTATGTAAATAAGCTTAGTATACGTGATAATAGGGATCGGCATGGTTTCCTTAGACTAGCTGTAACAAATCTATTGCATGTGGAGTCGTGTGGAATAAAGCCAATGGTTGGGTGTGCCTAGAAAGCTTACAAGAACTATCCGGCCATGGCTCAATGCAGGAAGCGTAAGGTGAGAGAGATCGAGGAACAGAACCGCCCTGGCGGGAAGGACAAGTGGAAAATCAAGGGGAAGCAGTCTTTCAAGCGAGCAAAGGATAAACGACGTTAAAGCATCCTCATTGTGTTTGCACTCTCCGAAACGAAACTCGGAAGGAAGCAGTTATGCAAGAGTCCGAAGGAAAAACCAGAGCAACCTCTCTCCCTTCTTCAATTTTGGGCCGGTCAACGTCATGTGTATTAGAGCAGCGAGAAAGGGGAAATAGATAAATGCAGCAACACATCAGTGTAACTAATCCTAAAATTCTTCTTTCATTGTGTTTCACTAATAGCTTCTTATTATGAACATTGCTGCTGCAAATGTCCACTATCACTTCTAAGCAGAACGTAACAAAATCGTTATCGAACCTCAAAAGCGTAACAAAGTGGTCACTTACGCTCTCTGATTCGTGATGCAATGTCACGAAACTCGTCTTCTTGGCATCCACATTCACCTCATCACTTACCCGATTCGTATCAACAGATCGAACGCAAAACGCCAGCTTTGAACCATGTATCTTAACCCTAAGCCTGATTGAAACTTCTCAGATAAGCAAACTTATTACAAAGCATTCGCAACGGTATATAAATGAGCACATCTGCCCATGGCGTTCACTTGTATTGCCCAGCTGAAGTCCAATTATTACCTTCATCACTCCCTTCCTGTCATTCCTTCACGTCGACTCTCCCCTTCGTCCTCCGGCCGCCGCCTTCCTCCGTCGTCTTGCCGGTTCGTTCAGGTACGATTCTGACTCTTTTTCTAATCTATCCAAGCTCTTCTCTTCGTTGTCGCTGGAGCAGAATTGGGATTGATGTTGACGCTGACCTTGTAGTTTCCCACTTCCAAGTTCCATCCCCCAGTTCTTCGGTCGGCAGTTCTTCTTGATCCCAAGTCAATGACCGTGCTTCGCCAGTCCGGCAGAAAACTGGGTCTGCCGCTGATGAATCTCCTTAGATTCAAAGGAACCTCATTACATAGCTGATGCAGTAAGGTTCATATCTAGGGGCTTAGGCATCTTTGATACTGTTACGATTTGTGATGGTTGATTCGTTCTTGTCGCCAGATTATGTATTTGGCAACCGCAAGTTCGGTGGGAATGCTCAATCTATAACGAAGAACCGATGGATACACCACACTTCCTTTCTATGGGACTACGAGGATCGGAATATGGACTACTTGAAGCTACCTTCTCGCGCCCCTGAGTACAGATCGGTAATGCTTTGTTTTTCCATCCATCAATGCCATTGCCTTCTGGTCTAATTCATGCAGATTGTAGTATGAATATGGCTTTTTTCGCGATCTTGAAAGGGTATATAATCGTTGTTCGTTTGCTGGCATGCGTTGCAGGCAAGAGACCATACAGAATTCGTGTGCAGAATGCGTGAGTATATGCAGAGGCCAGCTTTCGTCGATAGAACCATCAAAGCTCTCGAAGCCTACTTCTTGGTGCAACCTATGAGCTCCGAAGCAGCAGTTAATGGTGACCCTCAGACGACGACGACGACGACTGAATTCATTCCCTCCACCAGGCTTCTATCAGAGAAAGAACTCGAGGATGCTTTCGCATCTACCACACTTGAGAGAATGGCTCACACTGTCAGAATTTGATGCTGCAGGAGTGGATGCTAATGCCTGTGATGGCCCCATTGTTGTTCATTCTTCTTCTGTATCTCCTTTGTTCCTTAGAAATCGCCATGTGATCCAATGACGTTAATCGTCTCCACATGAACTTGACACATCCTTGAACTCATATAGTCTTTGTTTTGAGCTCTGATTGACTGATTCTGTGAAGACAACACACTCCAGACCGTTCAAAATCTTCTGTTCATTTTCCTCCATCCTCGGTAAGACGATAACAATGACTAATCGCAATTGTCACCGGTGAGATGAATGCTAACAATCACACACCGGGGAACCAGGTTAGAACATTTTTCCAGTCGTTTAATTTTATTATCTATATTAAACTTTTGGGAGGAAAAGATAAAAAAGTAGTCTGGTCATAACACGTGTCAGTGTCACGACTGCAGATTGCAGCTGGAATGGGAGTGACGTTGATAGCTCAACTTCCCGGCATCGGAACACGAAATCGAATATACCTTCCGGCTGCAAACTACAAAATAACCTTCAATCCATTCGACTCTTCAATCAAATACCCATCGATTTACACCTCCCGAAATTTCCTACTCTAAGCAACTTTCTCCTTCTCCAATGGAGCTACGACGGCCGCCGCCAGTTCATCTCTCGATCGCGCTCGCTTGGTTGCTCTTTGTCTCCGGCAGCGCAGACCCACCAGCGACTCCACGGCGGCAGCGTTCTCCGGATTCGACGGGGCGCGCCTTTCAAGATCGCGATCTTCGCCGACTTGCACTTCGGCGAGGCTGCCTGGACCGACTGGGGCCCGGCCCAAGACGCCAATTCCGTCCGGGTCATGTCCGACATTCCTCGACGCTGAAAAACCAGGTGACGTCATTGATTTTTGATTACGCTAACTAGAGTTTGGGCTGGGTTCGGGTAAACCAAAGCCCATCGGACCTAAGATTTGAACATATGGATATTGGAGGGTCGGCCGAGCGAGCCAACCCATTAAGGTTCCAGAAATTTTGTCGGCCATATGTCTTGATATCCATACGCCATACGGCACTCATCGAACTAGGATGAGCGTGGCATAATTAGCCAACCGGCCCTTTTAAGTTTAACCCACAAGGCCCAATTTTACTTATAATGCAACTCTTTGTTCCCATCATGTTCCAGCCTAGCGATGTGGTACTGCAAAACAGGGGCCAAAGGAAGGACAATGATTGAGTGGAATCAACATTTTGTTTGAGCTTTGTGGTGGAAAGTAGATGACTGAGATGGTTGAGTTTTCTGTAGATTTCGTGGTGTATCTCGGAGATCTCGTAACGGCGAACAACGTCCCCATCGCGAACGCGAGCTCGTACTGGGGCCAGGCGACATCTCCAGCACGCCAGAGGGGCATACCGTGGGCTAGCGTTTTCGGCAACCACGATGATATGCCGTTCGAGTGGCCAATCGAGTGGTTTTCGGGTCCTGGGATTCCCGAGGTTCGTTGCCCTGACGAAACCAACTCGTCGTGTTCAGGTAAATTCGGGGGAGGAACACAACATTTTTGTGCTGGTTCTTTGGCTATGTGTTGCTTGTCCTACAAGGTTGCTGTGATTGTGTGTGATGCCAGGGGAAGTGCAGTACTCGTGTAGCTTCAAGGGCACTCAACGTCTGGTGCTGATGAAAAATGAGGTTGAGCAGAATGCACCACTGTCACGCTCCAAATTCGGACCTAAGGAGCTGTGGCCTAGCATATCCAACTACGTCCTTCAACTCTCGTCACCCGACGATCCGAAATCGCCAGTTCTGTTCATGTACTTCCTGGATTCTGGTGGAGGGTCGTATCCAGAGGTCATATCGAGCGCCCAAGCGAAGTGGTTCGAGCGAAAATCGAGAGAGATAAACCCTGAATCGAAGTACGAAAGACACATTCAATCTACAGACCATGACATTTGAGTTTCATTGCCTTAATCAATGGTGAGGCTTTCTTTTACGTTTCTTGATACAGGGTACCTGAGATTATATTCTGGCACATTCCAAGCAAAGCCTACAAGGAGGTGGCGCCATGGTTTGGAATTCGCAAGCCTTGCGTCGGCTCCATCAACAAGGAGAGCGTAGCTGCTCAGGAAGCCGAGTTTGGTATCATGGACATGTTAGCCAAAAGACCTTCTGTCAAGGTTGGGAGCTTTTACCACGAAAAAAAAAATCTCAGTTACGTTACATTTTCCAGTCTCTAAGCGTTAGGGTTTTGCTTAGGGGTGGCTATTTGGACCGGGACCGGATTAAAAACCGGAAACCGGACCGTATAACCCGGACCGTTTAAGACCGGGACCGGATTTAAAACAATCCAATCCCGTCTTTGGTCTTAGAAATAGCAAAAAACCGGACCAATCCAATCCGGGTCAAAACCGTGTTAAAACCGGAAGACCAGATAACTAAAATAAGCCTAGAGGCAGGCCAAGCCCACCCACTACAAGTCTGCAACTCAGGCCCATTTTCCCCTCCCTCCCAGGCCCAGCCGAGTCAAGTGTCAAAGCAGCAGCCTATGCCCTAGAGTTTGCAATTTGCAAAGCAGCAGCCGCTCGCCCGCTCCAGCCTCCAATCCATCGTCCTCGACAGTCGACTCCTCGTCAATTTGCAGGGGAGTCCTTTCTTTTTTCTTCTTCTTTCTTCACCTTGTTATTTTTGCTTGTAGTAGACGATTTGCAGAGCCCTGATAATTAGCAATGGATCAAGAGCCGACGCACAAGTTCGTACAAGTCAAAGTGGTGGGGCAGTATTCGAGTTTAGGAGGGGAGCTAGATGTGCTCTTTAGAATCAAGGAGAGCACCCCGTTGTGGAAGCTGATGGCAGCATACTGTCGTCGGATTGGCATGTACGAGGTTGTATTCTCTTACGATCAGCGCTTGTTGCGGCCCCATCAGACCCCTCAACAGGTTCATTAACTATGTTCTATATATATGAGCTATTATGATTTCGATCGTTGTTCTTAACCAGCTGGCGTTGTAGTTTGTTTTTTGCTTTGTAGTTTGTTTCAAGTGATCAGTGTGTGACTAGTTGCGGTGTGGTTTTTGTGACGATTGTGAAATGCAACTGGTTGTCCAAACGCAGTCAATGCAGAGTTTCTCTGTGTTGTTCTTCACTTGTGGAAGGAACATATAGCCATCCAAGCGCATAACTTAACTTCTAGTATATACCACAAGTCCATTGCTCGGTAACGCTATGCAATTTGAAAGATTTTTTTTAAATGGTTGTAGTAATTAACTAATCACTTTATCTGATGGTTCATAGTTGTTATTTCGATTCTTTTGTTTTCATAGTCATTAATTAGGATTTTTGCTACAAACAGGTTGTCTATATTCCAAGAAAATGGGTATATGATGCTGAATTTTCTCCAACATAGTGAAAATGGGTCAAAACAGGTCAAAACCGGATTGGGACCGGACTGGGTCAAAACCGGACCGGGTCAAAACCGGACTGTACCCAATCCAAGCTTTGGTCCCTATATTTTCAAAAAGACCGGACTGGACCGGATGAATTCGGGCCAATTTAACCGGACCGGACCGTATAGCCACCCCTAGTTTTGCTGCAGGCGATATTTGTAGTAGGGCACAACCATGGATTGGACTGGTGCTGCCCTTATGAGAAGCTCTGGCTGTGCTACGCCAGGCATACCGGCTATGGCGGGTATGGGAACTGGGCCAGAGGAGCCAGAATGGTGGAGGCAATTGGAGAGCAAGACTTCTCTCTCAAGTCGTGGATAAGAATGGAGGATGGCAAAGTGCATAGTGAAGTCGTGTTGAGTTCTTGAACATGCGCCATGGCATTGTACTCGTGGAACAAAGTTGTAGATATACAACCTTACCTTTTTTTAGTGGTGTGTTGTACTCTACATTTATGCGTATTCATTCATCAACCGCTATTTATCATGATAATACGTTTGAATTGTGTCATACCGAATCGATATATATTTTGTATCAGTTCTTGCTCTCGTAAATTTTATAAATACTAATGAAAATGAAAGAGTTGACATATAGACCATACCAAACTAAACCAAATCGAACCAAATGCAATAATTGTTATATAATTAATTCTAAAACATCCTTTACTATTAAACCGAGATTCTCATGAGTTTGGTCTGATGCCGTCCGAATGGTTGCACTTGCACACCAGCTGGGAAAGGTACTGTAAATGTCCATTCCCCCAGCAGGCCCATAGGCCCAACTACAGATGTTGACTATGGCCCAACTATAATGATCAAGCCCAAGTAAAATCGCGCCAACCCGACCGACCGGAAGCGAGTGATCGTCTTTGTGTTGCTTGTTTTCTCTCGGTTATTGCTTGTTTGATTTCAGTCGTCGCTGCCGCCGAAGCAGCGGAGGCCTGTGATCTTTGTGGAAGGAGAATCTTCGTCTTCCATGGAAGATGAAAGCAGAAGCAGCAGCTGCTGCAATAGTAAAACTGACGCCTCCGAATTCGAAGAGAAGAAGCGATGGAGATCGGAAGACGCAATAGCCGGAAATCGAGCGGCACTTGAGTCTCTGAGGGAGCTCATTGTATTTCCCCTGCTCTACTCTCGTGAAGCTCGAAAGCTCGGCCATAAGGTTAACCCAAAGAAAATTCCCAGTCTTTATGTGCTTCATCGTTCTCACTATGAATGAATTTCAAGCTAATTGCTCGTAGTTTTGGCGAACAGTGGCCAGCAGGGTTGCTTTTGTACGGTCCTCCTGGAACTGGAAAGGTATTCTTCTGCTAGAGGTTTTCAGTAATTGGCGTTTTGTTTTGGGAAGCTGAACTGTAATATGTCTAATGGTGTGCATTCTCTTGTTTCTCTGTCAAATGCTACTAGACGAGCATTGTTCGTGCAGTGGTTCAGGAATCTGGTGCCCATCTAGTTGTTATTAGGTAGTGTTTGCTTTCCCCCTTTCGTCAAGTTGTTTGCTTTGATTGATAGATGCTGTATTGTTTTGGGATGTAGTTCTGAGAAAGCTGCAATTATTGTGGGTCTTGTAGCCCACATTCTGTCCACCGAGCACATGCCGGGGAAAGTGAAAGAATTTTGAGAGAGGCTTTTGGAGATGCATCGTCACATTTGGAAGCAGGCAAGCCTTCAGTCGTGTTTATAGACGAAATGGACGCACTCTGCCCTCGTCGTGATTCTAGGTGAGTTGAGAAAGGATGATAGTTAGAAGAAGTATCATCTCTCGGTGTATACTATCTCATAATCCTGGATGGGTCTGCTGCATTCATTACTGTTCCTCCTTGTTTGAGGACACGTGAATGTTGCAATATGATTCTGTAACTAAAGTTCTGTCCTTTCTTGACTATTGTGCTTCTATTGTTAGTTTTTTGGGAGGATTGAGTTTTGGTCAGAATTATGTAGTTCAGCAGAAGTGGTGTTCATCAGAAAAAATGAGGGATTTTTAGTCAACCTTCTCCCTTATTCTCAGAGCCGCTGTTAGTAGCACCTTCACCAATTGCTTGTAGCTCACCGATTGCTTGTAGCTTGCAAGAGTCAGTTAAAGTTAGCCTAAGAAGTGAATATTAGGCACATCAACATGCTTGGCAGCAGAAATAATTAGTTATAAGCTGTATTTGATTTATTGCCAAGTGGCACTTCTCTTTGTCTAGATATTCAAGTTTCCTTTATTTGCAGGCGAGAGCAAGATGTTCGTTTAGTCTCTCAACTTTGCGCACTAATGGATGCAATCAAGCCCTCTTCCGCATCTTCAGTGCATGTGGCCGTGGTTGCATCAACTAACAGGTTACTTGCTTGCTTGTTGAATGTTGATATTTACTATCAAATAAATTGATGTAAAATAAAGCAACCCGAGTTCTGTATTTCACTGTTGAAATCTGAGTCCAATATGTTGTTTGCTTTTGCTAAGAGTTGATGCAGTGGATCCTGCACTCAGAAGATATGGGCGTTTTGATAATGAAGTAGAAGTTATGGCACCTACAGAAGAGGAACGCTTAGAAATCCTCCAGGTATATTATAGAAATGCGTTGTCTAGTGAAGCCTCATCACATTCACGCTAGCTGTTACCCGTGTAAACCAAGTGCATATGCGACGAATAGTAACATGTGACAAAGATAGCTCATTATTTCTCTCTTTGGCATCCAGCTATACACAAAGAAGTTGGTGGTGGATAAGGACGTTGATTTGCAAGCTGTTGCTGCTTCTTGTAGTGGATACGTTGGGGCTGACCTGGAAGCATTGTGCCGTGAAGCTGCCATATCTGCTATTAAGTCGGCAAATGCCAGTGGTGCTGGGGTTCTTTGCTTAACCTCAGAGGACTGGAAGCTTGCTATGTCCATTGTTGGTCCTAGCTTAACAAGAGGTGTTGCAGTTGAAATCCCAAAAGTGTCATGGGAAGATATTGGTGGACTAAAGGATTTGAAGGTCTGGTAATAACTTTGTTAATTTTGGACTTACCTTAACCTGCAAAAATATAATCACTCTCAATATTATCCAAAACTGGTGACCTCACCCATGGTGAAGGTAAATGTTAACATTCTAAGTCTACATATGGCCGTCGTATTTTCAGAAAAAACTCCAACAAGCTGTTGAGTGGCCGATTAAACACCGGTCTGCATTTTCAAGAATGGGAATTTCACCCATACGTGGGGTTCTTTTGCACGGACCTCCTGGATGCTCCAAAACTACTCTTGCTAAAGCTGCAGCTAATGCTGCTCAAGCTTCTTTTTTCTCCTTGAGGTATGAGCATCTAGTCTAGGACTCCAATTGGAGTTTTCCCAACCACTTTATCTAGTCTATAAATTTGAGTCAGTCTCGTGTCACATTTTTATGAGTTGCAGTTCTTGGTAAAACAGGTTGCTCTTAGTTAATCGCAAACTGTAGAACCAGATTTCTACTTGGTCCTACACTTTGTATGTAATGCTACAATCTGATTGGTGTTTCTACTTGGAATTTAAAACTTTGTATTCAGTGGTGCAGATTTATTTTCCATGTATGTTGGAGAGGGCGAAGCATTGTTGCGCAGTACATTCCAAAGAGCTCGTGTGGCAGCTCCGAGCATAATATTCTTTGATGAGGCTGATGTTGTGGCTGGTAAACGGTAAGTGCACTTTCATTGAAAGCTCATGTTTCAACATATATTGTCAGTGGAAGCAATTGAAAGTTCTTCGAAGTTTCCATGAGTTCTTTGTCAAAAAAAGAAAGAAAAAACCATGAGTTGGATTATGTCAGTGTTGCATGGTTGATATCCATATGGCCAAATTTTTGCAGAGGTGACAGTTCAAGTAACTCGTCCACTGTAGGGGAGAGGCTTTTATCTACTCTACTGACTGAAATGGACGGTCTGCAGCAAGCAGAAGTAAGTACCAACGACATTAAGCATTGACTTCACCATTCGAAGGATTTCCAAGCCAAGACACCATATATTGTCTCACGATAATCTACTCCCTTGATTCTGCTACCAGGGCATCCTTGTATTGGCGGCCACCAATCGTCCGCATGCCATAGATGCTGCACTGATGCGCCCCGGACGCTTTGATTTGGTACGTCAATGAACACCATGACTTGATCTGCACTGCAATGTGGTCATAGATTTTCAGAAGTTCGGTAACATTATGTGTATTCTGTATTCCATGTCCAGGTGTTGTATGTGCCGCCACCTGATAAGGAGGCTCGACTCGAGATCCTCCATGTTCACACACGAAACATGAGCATCGATGACGATGTCGACCTCAGAACAATAGCAGAGAAAACCGAGCTCTTCACAAGTGCCAAACTGGAAGGCCTATGTCGAGAAGCTGGGATCGTAGCTCTGCGGGGAAGTATATCCACTGCTGTTGTCTGCAACCATCATTTTCAGACGGCGCTGAGTTCCTTAAAACCAGCTCTGACAAGAGCTGATATAGAGGAGTATTCATCGTTCATGAAGATGCAGCAGAGCATGTCATCACCTCTGGGCGGGACTGGATCAGCTGCGGCTGTTGTTGACAACAGCATTGGGAAAATGAAGGGACCTTTCAGTTCTCTTACAAATTTGACTAAAGTTGGTGTACTGAGTGTTTTGGTTTTAGTTGCTGCTAGATATTTGAAGTTTCATATGAAGATAGCCGGGGTGGAGGTATCTGCCACATGAACACTATCTTCTTATTTATCTTTAACCTCTTTTATTCGGTGGAAAAGAAAACAAGTGTATTTCTTTTCCTTATCATTAAGAAGAGATGTCAAGAAAGAAGCAAAACAAGGTTGGGATAGCCACTTTCAACCCAACTTTTTTTCCTAATCACTTCATTGATTCTCCTTGCTTCTTCTCCTTACTTTGTTTTATGTTTCATGGACTGTACTCATACACTGGTCTTCCATCTAATGGCTGAGTCGGTCTTGCATTTCTCTTAAATCCCTAATAAACGTAATGTAACAAGGTATTAGTCCAATGCAATTGAAACATATCAACGTTAATATAGAAATACAGAACCGAAATACAGTCCTACTATACAGTAAGCTAGCTATTCTGCAACTTCTTATGAGTAAAAGAAAGACAAATCAAGAAAATGCTACACTCACATCATGGACGGCTTCCCTCAGGGCTCTAACTTGTTCCCTTGACACTGTCCTCACCTATAAAACCAGCAACCCGCAAACCATTTCGGTTTAATTAGATTTGCAAAACACAATGTAATCAAATTGAACCGAACCCAACCGAAGAAACCGAATTATATACAGAGTCGAAAAGATAGAGAAACCTTCTTAACGATGGTCCATATAACGCCTTCTGTGCAAGGAGGAACAGTGAGGGAGCCAATGTACCTGTAGTACTTCCTGCTCCTCCCAAACTTTATATCCCCTGGATTTACTATCCCCAATTCCTTGTCATGATTTGGATCCACTGACCTTATGTGGTGGAACAACTGTTCATCAATTAAACCACAAAGCAAGCCACATTAAACAAGATGGATCAATGTCTTGCAGTAGATCAACCCACAAATTTGCCTGCTAACCTTGGTGAGCATTCGATCAGGGCGGCCATATTTGTAGACTATTGCAACCACTGCCAAATTCCCTTGAGAGCATTTGTGCACCAAGTGCAGCTCCAGCTCGTACCTGCATCGTTTTGCACATCGATCGATCATGAGGGAAGGGTGATTCGGGTTGTAGAATTCGCGGATGAAATGAATCGAAAAACCGAAAAAAAGTTCGTACCTTGAACCATTGATAGTGTGCTCAGAGGGGGAATGCCAATGAAACTGCAGCAGCTTATATTTTGTACCATTGATCTTGATCTCCCCAGCATCTCCTTTCCACCTCACCTGTTCATCATAAAGAAAATCATACATGAGTTGTTCTCCAGTGATCTGATCCCCATGCCATGAATCTCGCGATGCAGAAATTGAGACGGATGAGTGAATGAATTAGAACTACTCACAGTAATATCATGGCCTTTATTTTTGACAGTGGCAGGAGCTGGTTTGTAGTCTCTGTTGAGCCTTCCCAGATGTGAAAGGACTTGGACCCTTGTGTCTATAAGGTCAATTGGAGACTGCATGCTTCCATTTTTGCAGGCTTGCCAATGTGGGTTTATCTCCCCCCATCTTCCGTTGAAGCAGCCATCTTTGCTTTCTTAATGTTGAGTTCAACATCACTCACCGTTACGATTATACTTCAGTAAGAGAATGGTTGTGACGTCGATTAACGCAGCGCATTTACATTCCTGCAGAATGCATACACAAGATTAGATACATGTCATTTCCAAGTAGAATCGCTGGATCGAATGGCTCCTTGATACGAAAGACTGAGTAGGTAAAACTGAATTCATTCACCTTTCAAATGCTTTAAGAGTTCGGAACTTGGTGAAGGCTGCCAACAAGTGATGCGTACAATCTTTTGTCAGGAGTCATTCCTGTCTCCATAGCCTCGTCGTACAATTTAAAAGCTTCTTCAGAACGGCCCTCCCTGGACAGGCCCGAAACAATTGCAGTGTAAGTGACCATATTGATCGTCAAACCACTTTCACGAGCTTCACTCAACAGTTGCAGTGCTTTATCCACGTCTCCGGAAATACATTCCCCGTGTATGAGCGAGGTATATGTGTATATGTCTGGTAAAAATCCCACAGCCACCATTTCTTCTTTTAGCTTGTAAGCTTCATGGATCTTGCCTTCCTTACAGCATCCGTCAATCAGAGCATTGTAAGTAACAAGAGTGGGTTTCACTGATTTCTTCTTCATCTCCTTGAACAGCTTCTTCGCTTCCAGGATATTCCTCTCTTTGCAGTAGATGTTGATCAGAGTGGTGAAATTCACTGAATTTGGTATTTCACCTCTTTCGATCATTGCAAACAACCAGTTCTTCGCATCATCAAGCTTGTTCAATTTACACAGGCCACTAGCAATAATGTTATGTGTATAGTTATCCGCCTTGAATCCGTTCTTTTCCATTGTACCCTTTACTCTTAAAGCCTCATCTATCATACCTGCTTTACAATAACCATCAATAAGAGTGTTGAAGATCAGCAGATTCATGTCTAACCCTTGGCTTTGCATTCTGGATAGCAAGATCTTAGCTGCCTCCATCTGGCCAGCCTTGCAGACACCATCAATCAAGGCCCCATATGTGTGAGTACTGGGAGCAAGACCTCTCTCGCTGAGCTCATCAAACAAAGCAAAAGCCCTTTTCAGGTTCCCAACTTTACAATTACAGCTGATAATCGACGTATACACATGAATATCCACTTCGACATTTCTTTCATTCATGTCTTTGAACAACCTCTCAGCTTTCTCCGCCTTACCGCTGTCACCAAAGAAATGAATCAACATGGTATATGTAGCGGCATTATAAGCAACTTCATCCGTCTCCATCAATCTCAAGATCTCTTCAACGCCGGCAGAATCCCTTATTTTCACATATCCATTCAAAATGGTATTGTAGGTAATGACATTCGGCTTAATTCCTTTCACCCCAGCCATCTCAATCATTAATTCTTTAGCCCTTGTAACCCTACCTCTTCTACACAACCCATCAACCACAATGGTCAAAGAGTAAACACTAACCTCCATATTAGAATTAACCATCTTTCTGAATAGTACTGAACACATCTCCATTCTGTCGCATCTCTTCGAAGCAAGCAGATAGACGATACAAGATCTCTCGTCAATCTTCAACCCGTTACTTATCATGTAATCAAAAACCTCAAGGCCCTCTTCGAACATCCTTGCATCAGCATAGACTCTAAACAGCATGTCATACAGCTTCTCCCTAAAACAATCTTCATTTAATTTTCCACTGTTCATAGATACCCAACTAGCAACTGGGAACCTAACATCATCTGATGCAATCCTAGTCAACACATTCTTCATGTCCACAAACTTCCTGTCCTTGAATAGTCTCAAAAGAAGAATCCTCCCTGTAAAACAACGAAACTGCGAGTTAGAAACTGCTAGCAAGAACAAGATGAACAAAAAAGCATCAGCAGTGGAGTTGGTATTCAGATTACCAAGAGACTTTCTGCTCTTCTTCTTGACATTGACCTCCTCAGCATCCTCCAACACCAAGTTCATGTACTCATCGAATCCCTGTTACATTAAACCGAAAACAGAATGAGTTACATTTCAATTACCATCCTTCCAAGTCCCAACAAAAAGTAGTTTCATGCCAGCAGTTATATGGAAGCAAATGAGTGCTTAGGAATTAGTGCAATTGAATACAAGGCATTCCTTTTAATCATAAACTAAGAGGAGAAAGTGAAAGCAATTTTCCAACTGAATTTTTGGGAAGTTTCATAACACTACTGAAATACATTCTTATATGGCCAACAGAGAAGCTGCCAGCTACAGCTCAAAAGTCAATTCAGTGCTTCCATACAAAGAGACATCAAAGAGCTGCATCATGGATGGTCCATGTCGCTCAAGAGGCAGAGCAGAAGGGGACATGGAAACATCGAACAGGCATACTTATCCTTAAGGTATGTGATTTTTTTGCAGCCCTAAAAGCTTCGAAACAGTTTCACTTACAGCTGGTAATTTGCTAGAACACTAACCAGGACTTGGGCCCGATCTAAAATGGGATCTCACCATGAAAGGGTCAAGGGGAAAACATAAATATTATATATGGCAACTGGCTAGAATGAGCTTGTCTGGAAAACTTGGTGGCTGATAATTGAGTCATGAAAACAAACTTGTCTGAGTTTCTGCTGCCCCCATGAACTAACACAAGTACCAAACTGGCTTGCAACTTGCCTAAAGCATAAAGCCAAAGAATGCAAACTCAGCCACCATACTTGCCCTTGTTCCACAAACTAAAGTTCAAAACTTCTAGCTAATCACAGAAATTCGCCTTACAAACTGGTAGCAAGGTGGTATTCAAGCTATCCAATAAACTAACTAAAACAAGAACATAACAATTCAATACTGTAGAGACAAGAATCTAAGCAGTCAGTAATCAGTAGTTGGGAAGCCACTCACAATGATTCGGCCTTCAATTCTCAAATCCTTCTGCTCAAACAGCCAAATCTGAATCCGAGCTTTCTGAAACACCCACCAACGAAAGAAAGCCCCAAAATTAGTCTCCATTAACGAACAATAGTATATGGCAGATTACAAACCAAAAAAATGACTGAGGAGAATATACGGTGACTTACGCTTTGAAGAAACCTGAAGATCAGGTTCTACAGCGCACAAGCATCCCACGGCGATAGCAGCAACATGGAACAAAAGCAGTTAACAGCCGGAGAAAAAAATCGAGTAAAAAATGAGGATAACCGGAAACGAACAACAGTGAACTTAAAATGGGCTGGGTCATAATCCTCTGAACCTTAGTGCTCGCCATGGCTGCAGAATCTCCGCTGATCGACTCGCGAGCAGAGGTGGCCAGGCAGAGGAGGCCGAGCAGAGGCGCGAGCAGGGCCGAGCAGAGGCGGAGCTGAAGGGAGGAGAGACGGAGCCGTGAAGGCCGACCTGATCTTCCGCCGGCGACCGCGACCACGCCGCCAAAGAACCCTGGAGATGGCGAGAGCAGGACACGGCTGCGCTGCAGCCTGATGGAAATCGAAATGGGCGGCTAATGGAGTCTCTAGAGTCTAGGGTTTCGCTGCAGGGAGAAGAAGAAGTGGACCGTCCAAGCCAAAACGGCGCGGTAACGGCCAAACGGGGCTCAGGAAGATCAGCCCGCTGACCCGTTCCAACGGGCCAACCGGCCGGGCCAACCCGGGTTTGACCGGGTTTATCCGGGTTTGACCATTTCCGGGCTGATAGTAAAATGGGTTAGTATGGCCCGTTTTTTTGACCGGGTCCGGGTTAATCCGGGTCGACCCGCGGGTCGACCCGCGGGTTAACAACCTTGGTAACTAGACAGGACTATAAATAGTAGGAAGGCAAGTGTATAGCGGCATGAGAAAAGAACACCAATAAACTCTCCCTTCTCTCTCTCTCTCCCTCTCCCTCTCTCAATCTCTCTCTCCCGGGAACACAACGGCTTCTGGCCGTTTTCCCATTCTCCCTCCTACTTTACCGAAATACCTCCTTGTTACAGAAGAACAGACACTTTTCCTTGCCGAGCAAAACCCAGGGCATTGCAAATTTGGTATCAGAGCGGCTCTCGGCAACCATGGCGGCAGCAACGCGTCAATCCATTTTGGAAGATAAGGTTCAGTCCTATACCGTACGGACGGCGGAGCTGGAGACGAAGATTCAGGAGTTCGGTACACAGCTTCACCAACACATCGGCATCGTCGAAGGACAAATGGAAGCTAATCGTGAACAATTTCGCAGCAATGAGGTGCAGATGCAAGCACTGACTACCAGAGCTGAGGGCCATTCCCAACAATTTGCGAATCTCAATCAGCGAATGGATACCAATGATAGACAGTTCGAAGAAATTCTAAGGAGGCTGGATCAGCTAGGTCATCGGCAGCCAGCGGTGGTTGTTGCCGGTGCGGCGGGTTCGCTGGTGGACCGGAACACCGACCGAGGCATACTTCCGTTGCCGGATCTCAGAGGAGTAGCAGCGGACCCCAATCCCCTGTTGCAGAGAGCTCCATTACCAGGAAACAGAGGACGAGATCTAGAAATTCCACAGAATCGAGGTAACAATCCACAACCCCAACTGCCGCGACTTGATTTTCCCGTTTTCTCGGGTAGTAATCCTCGGGAATGGACGCGGAAGTGCGAAAAACTCTTTGAGATATATGCAATTCCGCCGGAACAGAAGGTGAGTATGGCGGTGATTTACTTTGAGAAAAGGCCAGACATATGGTTTGAGGGGTGGAAAACAGGTCGGCGGGAATGGAATTGGGAAGAGTTCGTCGTAGCACTCTGTAGCAGGTTCAGTGATTGGTCCATTGGAGGTGTGGTTGGTGAGTTTAATAAGCTCAAGCAGGGTAATTCATTGGCAGATTACCAGGAAAAGTTTGAGGACCTGAAATCGCAAATGTTGCGTTACAATGCGGCACTTGACGAAGATTATTTCATTTCAAGTTTCATCAGTGGATTAGATGAAGAATTGAAACCCATTTTTATGATGTTCCAACCCCAAACACTTGCAGCAGCCTTTCAGATTGCTAAGCTGGAAGAGGCTTCTATTGAAGCTAAGAGGAGGAAGTGGAAGGGAAGTGCTTTTCGACCACCAGTAGTGGGAACTAGCAGTGCTGTTCCTACAGGTCCTAAGAAATGGGAAAATCTGAAGACAGGTGTACCCCCCAAGGCGGTGGGATCTGGACCAGGTGCTAAGAACAACTATACCAAAGGGTCTTGTTATAAGTGCGGGGAGCGTTATTTCTATGGACATGTATGTGAAGCGAAGAAACAATTGAATGCTCTACTGAGTGACGGAGAAGGAGTGGTAGCTCCTATTGATTGGAGTGAGACTGAAGAGGAAGTATCTGAAGAAGACATCACAGGAGAAGAACTGCCAGAACCTGAGGAAGTCCTAATGCAGGCTTTGAGTAGTGGTGGCATGGCCAGTTCATTGGTGGTGAAAGGAAAGGTCAAAAAGGTTAGACTCTTCATTCTAATTGATACAGGAAGTACCCATACATTCTTAAATGTTAGAAAAGCAGCTGAGTTGAACTGTGTGTTGGAAAATGCTGCCCCTCTTAGAGTTAAGCTTGCTGATGGTACAGTGTTGTTGAGCACTCAAGTCTATAGGAACTTTAAGTGGGAAATGCAGACTCATTCTTTTACCTATGATGCAAGAATTATCAGCCTGGGTACTAATGATATGGTTTTGGGTTTGGACTGGCTAAGGACTGTAAGTCCTGTGAAATTTGATTTTGTGGGACTGAAGTTATTTTTTGACATTAATGGGGAAGAGGTAGCCTTACAAGGTATTCAAGATTGGGGCAGTTGTAAATCTATGACAGGGAAAAGCTTTCAAAAATTGGTTAAGCAGAATATGCCAACTTGGATTGGCCATTTGTTCAGTATTACAGCAGAACCAGCAGGAGCTCCTAAAATTCCACCCTTCCTACAGTCTACTGTGGAAGCTTATGCAGATGTATTTGGGAAGCCTACAACCTTACCTCCTGCTCGAGACTGTGATCACTCCACCCACTTATGGCCAATGCACAGCCTGTTAATTTGCGCCCTTACAGGTACTCTCCCCAACAGAAGGCAGAAATGGATAAACTGGTCAAAGAGATGTTAGCTTCTCATTACGTTCAGACAAGTAAGAGTCCTTTTGCTTCTCCTGTCCTATTGGTTCTCAAAAAGGATGGTACTTGGAGATTTTGTGTTGATTACAGACAGTTGAATGCTCTCACGATTAAAGACAAGTTCCCTATACCTGTTATTGATGATTTATTGGATGAACTGAAGGGTGCCAGGTATTTTACTAAGTTGGACTTGCTGTCTGGTTACCATCAGATTCGGATGAATCCCTCTGATCAATTCAAGACTGCCTTTAGGACTCACAATGGCCATTATGAATTTGTGGTAATGCCATTTGGGTTAACTAATGCGCCTGCTACCTTTCAAGCCTTAATGAACTCTATATTTGCAGATCACTTGGGCAAGTTCATATTGGTTTTCTTCGACGATATTCTGGTATACAGCCCTACGCAAGAGTCTCATATAGAGCATCTGAGAAGGACATTAGCTATTTTCCGGACCAATACTCTGTATGCGAAGCCTTCAAAGTGTGAGTTTGGTGTTACTGAGGTGGGTAACTTGGGTCATGTGATCAGCCAGGAAGGGGTCTCCACTGATCCTGAAAAGATTAAAGCAATGACAAATTGGCCTGTTCCAAAGACTGTCAAGGAGTTAAGGGGATTCTTGGGCCTAACTGGCTACTATCGAAAATTTGTTAAAGACTATGGATTGATTGCAAGACCTCTAACAGAGCTGCTCAAGAAAGGGGCTTTCCACTGGAATGCTGCAACTCAGGGAGCCTTTGAGGTACTCAAGGCAGCCATGATCCAAGCTCCTGTACTGTCTCTCCCAGATTTTTCGAAACCCTTTACACTGGAAACAGATGCAAGCGACGTGGGAATAGGGGCTGTACTGTCTCAAGATGGCAGACCTCTGGCTTATCATAGCCAAGCTTTGTGTGCTAGGAAACAAGGCCTCTCAGCCTATGAAAAGGAGTATTTGGCAGTGATTATGGCAGTGACCAAGTGGAGGCATTACCTGGAGGGACGACCTTTTGTTATTCTAACAGATCATGAAAGTCTTAAGTATCTGTTGGGTCAGAAAGTACATACACAGATTCAAAAGAAAGGTTTGGTTAAGCTTTTGGGATTGGATTTTGAAATCCGTTATAGGCAAGGCAAGTTTAACAAGGTAGCTGATGCCTTGTCAAGACATCCTAGTTTTTCTAATGCTGGGGAGTGTCAAGCTATTTCAGCTGTCCTTCCTTCTTGGATTGCAGATGTGGAGCTTACTAATGCAGGGGACCCCACTGTCCAGGATATGATGACTGAAGCAGTATTACCTTTCACTGGACCTCGAGTGAACTCGGTGCAACAAGGTCTTTTGTATCATAAGTCGGCTCTGTATGTGGGAAGTCAGGGTACTATGCGACATCAATTGTTGCAGCTCTTCCATTCCTCTCATGTGGGTGGACATTCTGGGATTCAAGCAACATATCAAAGGATCAAGCGCTACTTTTGGTGGTCTGGACTTAAAAGGCAGGTCAGGGAGTTCGTGGATGGTTGTGATGTTTGTCAACGTTGTAAGGTGGAACATTTACCATATCCAGGGTTGCTGCAACCTTTACCTGTTCCAGATTGTGCGTGGCAACATATATCAATGGATTTTGTGACAGGGCTTCCCAAATCTGGTGGCAAAGAGGTGATCTTTGTGGTGATTGATCGTTTTTCGAAGTATGGCCATTTTTTCAGTCTTCCTCATCCTTTTTCAGCAGCTACAGTGGCACAAGTTTTCTTTGATGGGGTATTTAAGCTTCATGGACTTCCTCATACCATCGTATCTGACAGAGATACTGTGTTTACTAGTGCCTTCTGGACAAAGCTATTTGAGTTGCAAGGAGTTCAGTTGCACTATTCCACTGCTTACCATCCTCAAACGGATGGACAAACAGAGAGACTCAATCGCTGTTTGGAGGATTATCTCAGGGCCATGATCCATCATTCGCCGCAGCAGTGGTCTGCCTGGCTGGCTTTGGCAGAATGGTGGTATAACACTAATTTTCACTCCAGCTTACAGTTAACTCCGTTTGAAGCTCTATACGGTTACTCCCCTACTCAGTTTGCATTGCGTCATCCCCTCTCCACATCAGTAGCAGCTGTATCTGATCGTTTGCACCACCAACAACAATTTGTGAGCCTGCTGCGAGATAACTTGGCAATGGCCCAAAATCGCCAAAAACAAATGGCTGACCGGCATCGTACAGAGAGGGAATTCCAAGTGGGTGACACAGTTTACTTGAAGCTTCGGCCCTATCGACAACTTTCAGTGCAACAGCGTGCTACTCAGAAGTTAGCTCCAAAATTCTATGGTCCGTTTCCTATAATAAAGAAGGTGGGAGCTGTAGCATATAAACTTCAGTTACCAAGTTCCTCTGTCATTCAT